TTTTCATATCTAATTTCATGAAATGATTTGAAATTTTCAAATATGACATAATACAGTGTTTTTCAAACTTGGCAATTTAAAGATATGCGAATCTGAAAGTTGCCAAATTTGAAAAATACTGGCATACTACAAAAGATTCCCCCTTTTTTTCCAAACGCAACAGATTCCGAAGTAAAACATATATAAATAATGGCCAAATAACCCAAAGCACTTTGTCCATAACTTCGGCTTGTAAAAATTATAAAATTGACCATATCAATAGTTGACTTTAAGTCATGTACATCAGTGGTGGGTTTCACATTTTGTTACCACCGGTTTGCCCCACGCACGCCTGGCCTTCCGCGCATGCACTTTGCTCACACACGCGCCTTGGCCTCAAAAATGTGCCTAAATAGGACGGCATAGAGTTGAGATGGGTGGCTGGGCCCACCCGCGATTTCTGCTACTGGTTTTGGCGAACTGGTCTGAACCGGCTGAATACCACCTCTGAACACATTAAATATTTCATTACCACACAGACAAGGATGAGGAGACCCAGTATTTTAGTATATTGTTTTAGCTTAATTAATTTCACATCAGAAGATAACACTTTATGATAGCACCACTTCTTATGCATTTTAGGAGGCATCAGAGAGACTACAGGGGGTCCCCAAGTTAAGACCACAATTGAGCCCAAAATTTATGTTGCTAAGTGAGAAATTTGTTGTGACTTTTGCCCCATTTTATGACTTTTCTCGTCACTTTTGTTAAGTGAATCACTACAGTTCTTAAATTAGTCACAGGGTTGTTAAGCAAATCTGGTTTCCCCATTGACTTTGCTTGTCAGAAGGTCACCAAAGGGGATTACGTGATTCTGGGTCACTGCAACTGTCATAAATGCGAGTCCGTTGTCGAGCACATGTAAATCATGTGACCATGGGAATGCTGCAACAGTCATAAGTCTGAAAAATGGTCATAAGTCACTTTTTTCAGTGCCATTGTAACTTTGAACAGTCACTAAGTGAACTATTGTAAGTCAAGGACTGCCTGTAGTATGATTCAATACAAATTAGAGCAGTGGTGGGATCCTCCTGGTTTAACAACTGGTTCGGTGATTGCACGATTTGTGTGCGCTTGCGCTTCACGCGCCCCTGCCCCTGATGTGTACTGTGCACAAGTGTACAGTTTGAAAAAATCTTCACTTTTGGGTTTCTTCAGAGGAGCAATCTGCTCTGCCACACAAATCAGCTGAGAAGATAAAGGTAGGAAAATAGCACAGGTGGAAGTGCAGGTGGACCCATCTGATCGTCAGGGTGAACCAGTTCATTCCCAGCTGATCATCAGAGCTACGGGTTCACCTGAACCAGTCCAAACCGGTAGAATCCCACCCCTGATTTAGACCCCCCCCCAGACATTAACAAACAATTAAATATAACATTGAAATTACCATTCCATAACATTTAAAAATTTGGAAAAAAAACAAGTTAGAATGAAATAAAACAATTATATTGTTATAAGTATTATGATAGAACCAAAAGATCTGGTATGGATACATCATGAATTAAATATCTAACTTACATCCTATTTCAGTCTTACTATGCCACAGATACTGATGGCCTTCACCGAATTGGTTGATTAATTGCTGATTATTTAGGATTGATCAAGTGATGATAATTTAGTGTTGTTTAATGACAAAATAATATATATAATCAGAGTTCTCAGAAAAATTCTGAGCTTTGACTATTTTGCTACACAAATACTACAGTAGATATATTTCAAGGATTTCTAATATGGTCCCTTCAGATACATTGGAATTCCAATTTCCAGAATTCCACCAAAATGGCTGTATATTCTGGCGATTACATATCCCCAAATACCTGGGGAACAACCAGGTGGGAGAAAAATGCTGTAAAGCATGTGCGGTGAGACGTTTGAAGCACCAACGACTGTCCACTGGACATCTGGATAACTTGTGGATTGAAAGTTATCAACAGGATTGACATGAGGATACAGATGAGAAGCCCTGAACACCTGAGGATTGAGAGAGGGTTCTCTCATGGAGGAGCATGAATGAAATTATGAATAATCATATTTCATAACTATCAATGAACTTTCCTTTGCAGATCCTTTTCTGCATCCCTACACATTCAAAATAGCATTCAAGCCCACAGAGCAAGACAGGGAGGGAGGTTCAAAAACCTATGTATATTTAATGCTTGTATAGGTAGCACTAGAGACTTGGCAAGGGTACTCAGGCCCTCCCCAAAAACAGACTCCACCCCTGCTACTTTCAAGTGCTGACTTGAAATAAGAACACTTTCCCATACAACGTATTATTGAATCATACACAAGGAAGTAGATTGACTGCAAGCTTTTTTGAAAATGTATTAGTAATATAGAGAGTCCTCAAGTTAAAACAGTTCATTTAGTGACCGTTTGAAAGGCACTGAAAAAAGGGACTTATGACCATTTTTCACACTTACAACTGTTGCAGCATCCCCATGGTCACATGATCAAAATTCAGACACTTGGCAACTGACTCATATTTATGACAATTGCTGTGTCCTGGGATCATGTGACCCCCCCTTTTGTAACCTGACAAGCAAAGTCAATGGGGAAGCCAGATTCACTTAACAGCTATGCTGCTAACTTAACAAATGCAATGATTCACTTAACAACTGTGGCAAGAAAAGTCATAAAATGGGGCAAACTCACTTAACAAATGTTTCATTTAACAACATAAAATGAAAAATCTGGGCTCTGTTGTGATTGTAACTCAAGGACTACCTGTACATTTAAGTTATAAATCCTTTCCAGTTTTAATTCCACAATATGATTTTCGTTACAAACAGTGATTTATAAAGCATAATTTATGATTCAACATGCCTGAACCCACTTAGTTATCTTTTATTCAACAAACTAGAAGGAAATTGTGGATTAATAAAAGGGATGAGTCTACTAATCGAGAAATAGGTACTGCATTTGAAAAACAAAAGGGCCTTTTGCCACTACTTTAATCTGTAATTTTTTAATCATCACATTTCACTTCATTTATTCATTAGATTTATATCCTGCCTTTCATATAACTGCACATCTTTAGATGATTGCCTATCCAGTACCAACCACTGTGTGTGAGTGAACCATTAAAGATATAGTTCAAGAGAACTTTTCATCATTCTGATTTTTTTTTTGATGCAGTCAATTTACACATTCAGTAGCCAGCTATCAAGGGCAAAGGAATCATCTAGTATATAATCAGGTATGAACCAGCCTGGTTTGTATTCCTGCTCCAAAACTGACTCCTACCCATCCCCCACCCACCTCCGTTGATCCTAGTGATGTCTGCAGCGAGGGTAAAAAAAATGTCAAGATGGCAGCCACACCTGTGCAACCAAAGGCTTGCCTCTTTTTTGTGAGTATCACACCACAGCTCCTCATTTATCAAACCACAACTGAAATAATATTGCAAATGTACAAACTCTTACTAATTTAAAGTTTGCATTAGTCATCCACTTACATGTTCACATTAGGTTGATAGCCTGGAGGAGAAAATCCCTAAACTTAGGATCTTTCACTTTCCATATACAGTTTTCTGATTGATAATAGGTTAAATAATATCTATGCATCACATGTAACCAGTCAAGTCACTCTTTTTGAAGCCCACAATGAAAGAATAAGTTTTTATAATGCAAGAGGTTATTGCACAGAGAGCTACTAAAAATAGTTTTCAACCCACAAAAAGCGATTATTTATATGGCACATTTGCTAGGGAGTTCAAAGTCCCTCCCACATCTTCCAACAATTATTCTTACAAAACTGCAAGAAAAATCACAGGATCTTTGCTTCTACGACGATAGTATAACTGACACAGGAACATATTTTGCACTTGCAACTGAGCTGAGATTCAAATAGGGTGTCTTTGATTTAGAGCTCACACTCAACATCTTCCAATATCTCATACTAAGCCAGACTTTGCACAGCCTGGCATGTATGAGATGTATTCTGATGAGGGTGCTGAGAGAAGTGATGGGTTTTGTATACCAATATATCCAATGCACACAGATTGAGCAAGGATGCATTCAGCCACAGCCCCAAACTGATCTTTCTCTTTAAAACCCTTACAGCTCACATTCATCCTGTTACAGGGAAAAGGGATTAAAAAGTTTCATTTTCTTTTTTCTTCACAGTTCCCTGGAAGGTTGATCTGACCTCATCCTCAGATCTGGGCAGTCCACACAAGAAGGCAGGCCACACCAAGAGCAAGCAAGCAATCTTTTTTTTTAGCTCCAACAATATAATGACCATCACCCCATGATAAGTATATCTTCCCTATTTAGGGCCAGCATTAGAAAAATGCTACCTGTATGGTGCTTCCTATGTTTGTCACCATCTAGGTATGAACAAGGTGAAGGTGACAGATACCTTCTTTCTTTTCCTAATCTGTTCTTCTGCTGCTTCCCAAGTAATTTCCACTATCATGATGTGAGACCTATTTCTCCATATCATTGCTTCCCATTAACTGGGGTAACTAAAGAGAAAAGATGGAAATCAAATAACCCAAAGGAACATTTTGAAAGAGAGGGACCATTATATTCCTGATTCCACTCCCCAAACATATTCTTCCCAATAGCATTAAGAAAGGGTGGAGCATCCAGAAAAACATGACCTTGAAATCAAAGCTTTGAAAGGGCTAGATTCAATTTTAGATATTAGGAAGGGCATGCTGCAGTTATAAAAGACAAAATACTTTGCACATACACAGAGACACTCTCCCACCCCCTTCCCTATGATGTTATGTGTACTGGGACTAGCAACCCCTGACATTCCAAACTGTTTCTTATTTGCAATTGAAGGAAGCTGATCTAGCTAAGACTCCCACCATGAGCCCCCAACCCTGTCCATAACCTTTTAATCCCCTTTGCTCTTGCCCGATCAGTAGCCCCTCCTCCCCGTCTTGCAACTATTGTCCCCACTCCCACCTTGGCGGCAGTCACCCCAAGCCCCACACGTGGATCCCTTACCGGCTCCACAGCCATGTCCATGAGGGGCTGTCGAGTCCCCTCCCAGCCTCTCCAGCACCCTCCCCACTAAGCGATCGGGGCTTTCCGGTTCTGCCAACGGGACCCAGCAGCAAGTAGGCACCGACTCGGGACTGAGCTGGGTTTCGCCTCCTCCGCCACCTCCTGGGGAAAGCTCCTCCGACGAGAAGGATGTTGGGGAGCGCAGAGAGGAATCGGGGGGCCGCAGCTCCAGCCAACGGCCATCGCCCGTGGTTTCCGTGCCTCCTTCCGTAAGATCTTCAGGTGGCTCCTTAAGAAATCCAGGCAGGAGGATTTTGGAGACGCTTTGCCTGCGAGATAACTGCCCCCCGGAACCAGGAACAGCCCGGGCGGCCAAGTGAGAACCCTGCTTCTTCAGGAATTTCTCCAAAGGCTTCATCCCACCGGCCACTGCGGGGGCACCCAAGGGCGCAGCAGGGCCCCAGGACGAGGGTTGATCCAATGCGCCCTTCTCAACCTAGGCCAAAATGGGAGATCAGGGGTGCCCACTTGGCGTGCTGGAGGGAGGTGATGGGAAGATGCGTGGTCAAACAGTCATGGCTATACCCGATGTTGGCGAAGGGGCAAGAACGAGGAACGAAAGGGGAGGCGCAGCTTTAGACAATTTTACTGGACGTGGAAAGGGATTTAGGAGCAGAATAAACCTTCTCACAACGGAAGCAATTCGAGGGACCTGTTCTTTCTGACCCCCCTCCCCGAGCTAAACGAAGAAGTAGGAAGGGAGGCGACTTCTCTTCCCTTGACCACCTCAGCAGCGCCGAGCTGGCTAATCTCTTTGCCAGGATTCGCCGCCGCCGCCGCTTCTGTCCTTAGCGCAGAGAGGCGTGCGCCCTCAACCGAGTAGGGTTTCCCGGAGTCGATGAGGGGAGCTCCGTTTGCAAGTCGGATCTCCCCGCCGCCGCCACACTGCAGCCCCGTCTCCCTCGCCTTTCCCACTCCGGGCGTCTGGTACGCTCTCTATTCGCCAGGCTGTTGCTGCTGCAGGCGGGATCCTCCTTTATGGATGCTCATGACAGCGGGGGAGGCAGGCACTGAAAGCAGCAGGAGCGTGGGCTGAAGCCTGCCTCTCTGCAGGGGAGTTTGCGGGCGGGGGGTGTTCTCGGCTCTACCCCTTTCTCTTGCTTCGTATTTCCCGGCGTAAAATGAAGCGAGAGTCGCGAATCGGCAGCCGGCTTTCTCTCTCCCTCCAGATCTCCCTCACCCTAGGAGAGTAACAAGGCGGCTCTAAACCCCGCCCCTCTTTTCTCTTCCTCCTCCCCTTTTCTTGTTCTCTCTCTTTTTCTTTTATGCCTGCACTTGTTGCGTGCAGTAGTGGGGCCAAAATACACACCTCGATCATGGACGATGAATGGAATTAAAATCTCCTCTTCCTCCATCACCTGAAGTTGTTCAGGTGACTTAATCAGGTTGTTCAACTACCAACTTCATTCGAGTTTATGGATCTTGATACAGTTATGGTCATGGGGTGGTAGAAGTGGAACGGTCAGTATGTTTTAATTCACTTATGTTCCATGAGTTATTAGATGAACAAAAAAGCATTAGGCCAACAATTCTTTCATCTTGTTTAAAGTGTGTGCATAATGTTTCTAGCCTGAAACAACTACTGCACCACAGGTTTCTGGTATAAACAGAGTTGGTCCACCATTTTCCTTCACTGCAGTTTACATCAGCACAAAATTGCACTGGCAAACTTAGGTGTTCTGCCTTCATTGTACCACATGGCCTTTAATATGTTACCAGTTCATATTTTAAAAACCGGTATGTTGAACCTTCTAATCCTGGAAAAAATTAACCTGACCTGTTTTTCCTGCTTAATCCATCATAGAACCAAAATGTATACATTCTGCTCCAGGCTTTAGGGAGGTATCTTCATGTGACCAGAAGTATCAGAATTCTGACAAGGTGAATAGAACTTAACATTTATTTTGCACTTTCATTTTACTGTACATGTGAGCTACAAAGATGCGTCTTTTTTTTTAAAAAAAAACCACCTTATTTTGCCATATTGATCTTGATAATGTGTTAAATACAGTTCTTGTTTAAGTAATTATAGTTAATCCTTTATCTTAAATCATTGTCCTTGGCTATTTATCTTGTATTGTTTGCTTATTCATTTTGCCTCATGTTCTTATTTTATTATTACAAAATAATCCAAATTATGTGAGTACACATAGTCCTCCACTAATGACCACAGTTGGCAACAGAACATCCATTGCTAAGCAGTGCCATTGTTAAGTGAATCACAGCCGTTTTATGACTTTTCTTGCCAGAATTGTTAAGCAAACCATGCAGTCATTAAGCGAATCCAGCTTCCCCCATTGACTTCATTTGTTGGAAGTCTGCTGGAACAGTCGCTGAGGGCAATCATAAGACCCTGGGATGTTACAATCATTGTAAATACATACTCATTGTCAAGTGCATGAATTTCAATCACACATGGCTTTGGGAACTTTGTGACAAAGAGCGAAGATGTCTGTAAGTCACTCTTCATTGTCGTTGTAACTTTGAATGACTGTAAGTCAAGGACTACCTGTATTCTGAAGAAAGAACACACTGATAAAACTTTTGCAGTACTCCTATCAAGGGAAAATAAGTAGGACAGAAATAGGAAGGAAAAGTTTTTCCTGCTTCCTTCTGTTATTTTTTTTCATTAAAGCAAAATTATGTCAGATTGCATGTAGAAATATTTCTGAATTAGTTTTTGAGCTGAATTAAATGTTTCAGGCATACACAGCAAGACAAGGCATGAAAGGGTTTGGGGATCCAGCAGATCTTCAATTCTGGCCTATCCTTCTCTGCTGACTGAACTCTATGAAAACCTTGGAAGTCAGTGACCCTTGATGGAGAAGAAATCGTAGCCTGGGTTCTGTCTCCAAGACTGGATATCTCCTTTTATGTCTCAATAGGATTGCTTCTAATTCTACACCCATAGGACCATGATGGCGAACCTATGTCACATGTGCCAGGGCATGCAGAGCCTTCTCTGCTGGCATGCGCGCTGTCGCCCCAGATCAGATCTCTGTGGTATTTCTTTTGTGGGCTTCTGTTTCCACACAAACGATAAAACAAAAGTTCACGAAAGAAAAAGATCTTACCTCTTGCTGCCCTGCCAGTGTTTAGATGCCCCACCTCCCGCCAGCCAACTGGTATTTGCGTCTCTGCTGCACACCTGCGCATATCTGCACATGACCGTGCATGTCCGCACATGCATGCGCACACATTTTAATTTGGGCACCCGTGCATGCGAACTCAGTGTCTAAAAGGTTCGTCATCACTGCCCTAGGATGCTATTCTAGGAAGACAGAATTGTGAGCTTCAAATAAAAGGTTTTTTTCTGAAATAATCTTATGTCTCTATATTGCAAGAGACTTCACATTTGTTGGAACAATGAGACATAAATTTATCCATAGCAGGGACCCATAATGTCTTAGCACACCTCCTCTTTAAAATATGGGTTACATTCGTTCATTCCTTTCTATTTTTTGGCAAATAATGAAAGATAATGATTTATTTTAAAAGTAATGGCAGGTATAAAGAAGGCATACAATATACTATCTCTCTTAATCAAATATTCCTGATTAGTTGCAATGAGTCGAACTCTCTGCCCTCAAATATTCAAATTAACACAAATGTACACCTAATGTTTTATTTATTACTGCATTTTCTCTTAGACAAAAGGCAAATTGGTTAAACATTGGGAATGAGAAATTAACTAGCTTTATTAAGGTGTCATATTTAATGGAGGTATTATTATAGTAACACTCAGAGTTTAGGAAATGGGTTGCCTAAAATAAATAAGTAAAAAATATTTTTTTATGTCAGAGTTGAAATAGTCATTCATGTTCTATGCACAAATACAAAACTCACTGAAAAGTAGCAGGGACTTCAGAACAAGAGAAATTGCAGAAAAACCATTACAAAGGAGATCAGATTCAGATAAAGAGAATAGTACATGTTGGGTGGTAAATTGGTTGTTTCAATGAAGGAGAATGTTTGTCATTTCAGGTTGAAATGAGGGGGTCCTTGATGGTCTCTGAGCTTGCTTGTTTTCTTGTAGATGTTTCATTACCCAAACTAGGTAACATCATCAGCACAGAGAATGTTACCTGTTAAATCAGTTAAAGGAGGCACACAAAGGCTTCAGTAACAATAGCTCTTTATTGCAAATCAAGTAAACATCAGGCTGTGGAATGGTCGGGTAGCATCCCCTTTTAAAGGGATCTGTCAGACCTCTTGACCAATGGGATTCAACCTCTGTTCCCGCAGGAACAGATGACCTTGGTGGAAACCTCTGTCAGTCTGTCAGCGGGGTGGGGGGGGATATCTAACATTACCTAGTTTGGATAATAAAAGTGTGCAAAGAAAGCAAGTAAGCTCAGAGAGCACTAAGGACTCTCAAATCGGTTGTTGCACAAAACTCTTTACCAGCTACAAGTACATTTCATAGATATGTACAAGTTGGAAAAGATCTTAGAGGAAATCTAGCCCAACACCCTACTCAGTGCAAGATCCATTAGTGAATTCCAGAGAAATGACCTTCTAGCCTTTGTTTAAAGATCTCCAGAAAAGGAGTATTCACTATTTCTTTGGCTGATGATTTACTCCTAGTGTTTAGCTCAAACCTATTTTCTTATAGTTTAATCCACTGATTTCTGAACTTGCTTTCCGAAGAAACAGAGAAACAGTCCAATTCTTCTATATAGCAAATCTTCAGTTATTTGGAAAATTGTCCTTCCCCTCATTCATCTTTTCTGTGTTAAAAATTCTTACATCCTTTAACTGATCCTCACTAAGCCTATGTCTGGAGACCTCACCATCTTTATAGTCCTTTTCTCCTATTTGTTACTATTCTTCTTGACCAGCAGTATTCAAAACCAAACAAAGTATTCCATGCAGGGTTTGATCAGCAAGCTAGAGTGGAACTATTCCTTGCCAAGATGTAGACTCCTGCTTGCGCAACTTAAAAAAGAAATTTTAGCAACTGCAGTACAATGTTCATGTGGCATCAATAATTACGGCTGGTTCCCCTTAATTCCAGTGAAAGTGGCCTTAGTAGACTTTTCAGATCCAGGATTCTCTTTCTATGCCAGTTTGAATCCAAAGATGAATTTCTGTTTGTCACCTGATGTATTGGTTTGCCTTTCATAGATTGCTATATGGTACCCACAATATTTTGATTTCTCAGATGTAGAGAATATCAGAGAATCTACAATATCTGTGGTAATAAAATAGATGCAATGACATGTAGTATCCAAAAAATTTTAATGTCAACTTTCTGAGATTATCTTTTTATAAGCCTTGCTTACTTTGTTCTTGCATATTTTCACATAATTTAACTGAATCACCACCTCTTTCTCTTAGTGGAAGGGTTCACAGTATATCACCTTCTAAGATCTGATGCCTCTCTTATTCAAAATATTCTAGAAAAATCTTCATTTTATTTCTTAAGGACATTGTAACCAAGCATCCTAGTTCATTAATGGAAAAATGTTTTCTGACAAAGGACTGGCTGGCCAGGACACTGTAGAAAATGAGAACGTACATTGCAGTGGCACATGCAGAAGGAGCAAATGTCTGGTTTACAGGAGCAGAGATAATATACTGAAGCTTAATTATGAACCGAACAAAACAGTTTGTTGGTTGGCAGCAGCATTTTGCAAGCCTGCCCAAAACTCTCTTGTGGGTCAGAAGCAAAGAAGGTAATAGTGGACTTTCCATGGCACAATAAAAACTAGTTGAATCTGCCATTGAAGCTTCCATTAAAAGTTAGATAGTAAGCCCCAGAGCTGAAGCCTGAGGCTGTCTTAAGAGTGACAAAAGCATTTCAGGCCTGGTGCTGTCAGCCCCACTAGATAGGCCACACCACAAAATCAACTCCACAGGAAAGCTGTTGAGATTGGCTATAATAAAAGGGTTTTGCCAACCTGATTTCCTCTCCTTTTTATCCCAATGAATCAGAGAGGCTTTTGCCCGAGATGCTTCAAAATATTGTCTTGCTTCCCAGGACTTAATGTTTCAGCCTTCTTGTTAAGTAATAATATTGCGTATTTCAGTCAAAGTCATCCCTTACTCTCTGCAAGCACCATGGCTTTCTCCAACAATACCTTGCTGCTATTTCACAATATCTGCTGCCTGAGAAATTGTATATTTATATCTTGTCTTTATTATTTTTTACAAATAACTCTGTCACTGCACCACCATATACAACGCAACTTCCTCAAGC